ACTCCTAGCTAACTAGTATGGCTGATGCACCGACAAGACATTCACAGTTATAGTGGATATTCAGTGTTAGTAGTGTTGATTGAGGCGTTTTTTTCAATTAAAATTGCATTGATACATTTCGATTAGTTCTCATGATCCGTCTGTTTTCTCTCATTCTCGCCAGAATTACATTCCGCATCTCAGCTACAGTGCATTTTAACAAAATATGCATTTTTGCTTTCTCAGTTTTCAGCGTTTTTCCGGAAATTACGGAAAAACTTATTTCTGTCTAGTGGAGAATTTTTAAAAATTTTCCAGATGACAGGTCGCACAAATGTTTCGGAAGTGTTACCAACAGGACAGCTTTCAAACATTCCGTGGAGAAGAGCCGGCGTGAAATATACAAATAATGAGGCATATTTCGATGTAATTGAAGAAATTGATGCTATTATAGACAGACAAGGCGCTACTGTATTTTCCGAGATCCAAGGCTATGTTAGTCCTTTTCCATTTTGGCTTACTTGATTCATTCATCCTTTGAGGGAGACAAAGGTACTCAGGAGTTACTAAGTAAAAGCACTCACTAACAGCAGCTACGACAGCTTCCTTCTTCTGAAGCCTTTTTTTCCTTCCTTTCATTCTTCATCTTCCTTCGATAATCCACATGTTCCTTTTAACATAGCGGAGTGGGGCACTGTACTGATGATTCCCACCCATTTCTCACCGACTGTGCCGTATATGTTTACAGCTCAGGGATGAAACACAGACAGGATACCAGCTCAAGGTACATACAGGCTAGCTTATCTGGGAGATCTAAATGGCACTTCTGGTTTTTCCATAACTGTCAAAATTCGAATGTGTTCCTCTCAACTGTGGCCCAACAACGCCAAACAAACTGCGTATGTTAAAATACAGAAGACTTCAGGTCCCCGTCTTTTTCCAGTTCTTTAGCCAGAGATATTCATTGTTTGCATCTTTAAAATTTCTGGAACACTTAAAGCCTTATGGCAGTCATTTCTTCCTGTACGCTGCGAAATTCATGTTTCTTACAGATTGATTGTTGCTGTAAGCTTTCCGGTATGCCCGATCTTACGATGTCACTGATTAATCCGAGACTTTTCGACGATGTTTCATTCCATCCTTGTGTGCGATTCAAACGCTGGGAGGTAAAATTTTTTACGATTTTCTGCTTCAAGTAAACTGAGTAATGAATGTTACGAAGTACAGTAAGCTAAGGAAACGAATTGGACAACTTCCGTCACATAAATTTTGCCTGCTTTTTGATGGAGTGACTCCGCGCTACGATAAAATGGCCTGAGCTGATCCCAAGTCAAAGTCGGAGCCCCCTCCGTATTCGTCTTCTGCGAGAAGCGAAGGCACTCTGAAGTATTCTGAGGATAACAAGCGCCAATAGCAGCGGCTGTGTGTAAATCTGTAAATGCTGTTGATAACAGCATGCTTCAAAGTTTGTTTGGAAGCAAGCTGATGGCAAACTTTACTCCTTACTGGCAATTTACTATCGTAACAAAATGAGCAAATTGTAGAGGTATGGGTTGCCTCATCAGTGTTTCTGAATCCTCAGTCTTCAGCACGAAAGTACTGATATTAGCTGTTGCAAAATGCCAGTCAAAATTGTTTATTTTGGATCTTGCAGTTGTTTTTTCCTCATGCTTTAGAACATTTTTTACATTAATCCATTGTCTAGGATTTCAAGCGATTCTTTTTATGACAAAATACATTTTTTGATCAAGCAGGGCCCGTATACTTGTGGTTTTTTTTTTTTCGAAGAGGGCAACACATTGTGAAAACATATTACAGAACGAGCGAGTGCTTTCATTTGTGCCACCGGATGGAAATTTCCGCCTCATTTCTTATCATATTGGATCTCAGAAGTATGTTTTTCTCTAGGATTTCAATAATAGCAGTTTTTTTGCCACCAATTTATTGTTGTGCCCTGTGAGAAGCTTCACTAAAGCTACATTTTGGTCCAGTTATTTTGGTGATTTTGCTAATCTAATAGTGAAAATTTTTAAATGAGTAATACACGAGTTTTCGCACCCAGTCCCGACACGTGGGGCGAAACACGTAGTCATTTCTATCCAGATTGTTTCTAAACTTTACGTCTGTGGAATTGATTTATTAATCCTTCATCTTGAATCCAAAATTTCTGGGGTTTTTCCATGGAAGAAACACAAATTGGGGATTTGTTAGTTTTAAGTTAATGAAAGATGTCCATCAGTCAGTGTGAGGTTTCTGATATTAATAAGATATAGTTAAATACAGTTAAAAGAGCGTAGCTGTACCGGCTATGAGCATGTTGATGGACCGAAGGAACCAATTAAGGTGCTAGGCTAAAGCAGCGACAAAAGCAATTTTATTATATGAGACAGTGACACGTGACAGAATAAGCGATTGACGAATCACTAGTAATAGCATGAATGGATCAGTTGACATGGGGCACTCAGTTGGTGAACGGAGACGAATAATATACGCGAGCCCCGAATTATCGGATCGTCAGTCTTATGTAGTGATGTTCCTGTAATGGGTATCACACATTACAATTTCCGATGCGGCTTTCATCTGGGATTACGAAATGGATGCCATGGGAACCAGGGATAGATTGTGCCGTTGTAGACTCAGTTTATGGTGGGGAAATTGGCGGGGGAAAAGATGGTTTGGGAAATCGAGTCCCTGTCGGAGATCCGATCTTCGATGGGAACGTCGCTTGCCGACGTTCAGCCGGAATGTCGTCGAAAGATGACCCATCTTTTATTTCATTTATTTTTGTGGAGCAGCGATGGAAGGCGAGGACTTCGCATTTACAATTCCATTAAATACACCGGAAAATCGAACTGAATTAGCTGTTGAAACTAAAGTCATTCATAATTTTTTTAAAACTTGCTTCCTACACCGCTTGCCTGCATCGTTGTCAGTTAACACCACCACGCACTCCTCTTCTGCCGGTACCATCAACGACAGTGATGCCTACTAGCTGTTTACAACCGGAAAATGGTTCAGAAACTCTTTGGATGCAATGAGTTTGTACGGTTGAAACTTGTTTTTATTCAGCATGGTCGCAATACCAGTATATGTGCGACATAGTATTTCGCTGAAACCAGGAACTTCCGGTCGAATTGAATTAACTGTTGGCCCCAAACATAGCATGGGGAAAGTGGTAAGCTGTGAAACGCTTTTTTCAGAGGTCTTTCGAAAATTGCTTCGTGAACCTAATGATTTTTACGCCAGCATTCTTATTTTCGCTTATTATACTTGATTTGATATTTTGGCTAGTTACAGCAGTGTGCAGTGGTAAGCTGGTGATACCTCCATGTTTGCTGGTAGTGAATCCATAGAATTCAGTAGTCCGCATATTGGTAATCCTAGCGTCCGTTACCTTGCCTTCCTCCTTCATCTCGCCGAAAAGAACTCCCCCTATTTGCTGTAATACTTTTGGCTCATCTGCTGGTTGCCCCTTTCGTGATCCTCCTAACGGTCATTATTTAAGACGGGGGGGGGGG